GCAGATTAGCGTTCTTTCACTGTACTAGCACCACTTAACAAAACGGTTAAGCCTGCAGTCGGTCATCTAGCATCAAAGACATTAATTCTGAGTGAGAATGTCAGGAGACCAATATACAATACTTGGAAAACTAACATTCTAGCCTTACCTTGATGTTTTCATTTTTCAACAGAAGACTTCCTTCCTGTGACAATATTCTATTGTCATGACTTCATTGATAGTGAGATGTATTTTTAATGATTTTTTTTTTTTAAATGAGGTTTTGGGTTTCTGATTGACTAGCAAAAGCTGGTATCAAACATTCGGTGCATATTTTTCATATCCTTAAAATGGTGTTAAATGTCTAACAAACAGATGTGATACTTAATGTACAATAGGTTTTTAATTATTTATTTTATCAAAAGACTAACTAGGTATCTAAACAATTAAAGATAGTTACTTAAATTTCCCCATAAGAGTAAAAGACACTGAAACTTTCTGTTGAAGCAAATTACTTTTTAAGAGTAAATTATAAAGAAGTAACACTCTTAAGATTAAGGGCCTACAAAGTGCATCATTAGGGCTGTGCACATATCCCTAGCTACTACAATATCTTTTTAATATAGTTGGTAAGGGGGAAGAAATTCTGACTACTGCATGTGAGTTGCTGTTCATGGGGTGTGTGTGTGTGTGTGTGTGTGTGAGAAATAAGTTAGATGTGAGAGATGCAAAACCCAAGCTATATATACTTACCTGACAACAAATACTAACTGTAATAAACTATAAATGGCTGAGGTAATCCGCTAAATAGTCTCATTTGGGCCCCAGTTTAGTAATATATCAAAGCGCATGCCCAACTTTGAACATGTCAGTAGTCCATTGACTTCACTAGAACTATTCATGTGCATACAGTTAGGCATGTGTTTTGTACCGTACTGAAAGGTAGTCCTTTCAAGATAAGACCATCTGCTACTAATGAAGTCCAATAGCAAAGTTTCCATCTGACCTTAATGGATGTAAGATCAGACCCAAAGTTTGTAATCACCAAGAGCAACAGCCAGTAACGAACTTGTCTATTTTTAATTATATTTGTGTCTTTTTCTGTGGCTATCTTGAGATTTCATCATAGGTCTTATGCAGCTGGTATAACTTTTACTTTGGGGAAATAGTGTTTCTGAATGCATATCTTACTAGGGTCTGATCCTGCCACACTCCTTGCACACTAAAATTGTTGACTTTGTGTACATAAAGATTGCAGAACCAAGCTAATGTAGTGTTAAAGCAGAAATAGGGTTTGCAGTAGAGTTCTAAGTGTTAATAATTAAACAGCTGTTTTGAATTTCACTCATTTAATATTTTAAGCTACAGATGTAATTTACTTGGTTTGAAGCTCACTTGTATTGTTCAAAATGTCTCTTAGATTCTGTGTTGGTTAGCAATTTATTGTTGATGCATTTTGTGTATTTGAATTTTTTATTCGCTTAGATAATGTCCATATGCAGAGAGAATTTTTCAGAAAGATTGTGGTATAGCATACCAAACTATTTTGTTAACTTTTGTGTGATTTTGTTTTTGTTACATTTGAAAGGACCAATAAAAATTTAAAGTAGAACTTCTTGGTAGAAGTTTGTTTGGCTTGAGATGCTTCAGTATGACCCATTTATACTGAATATTTTTTTTTGTAATGATTATAAACTGAATCCTTTGTATTGTACACTATGGGACCTAGGCTGCTATTTTATAAGTACATTTCTTTTAACTAAAATTCAGCAGAATTGAAAGTGTTTAAGTATAATATTACGCTATTACTATTAAGAGTCTGTTTTAATTTGTGATCCAAACTAAGGCCTCTCCACAATCCCCCTAAGAAGGGGAAGACTACTTATAAAAGCATAATCCATAACAGATGAATGAAAGTTCCCTATCTAAAGTATTTATCTTCTCATTATTTTTGGCAATTCTCAGCATATTTAATGTCCCTAAATATACTTTCATTCTATAATGAATTAACGTGCAAAAACATGTTAAAACATTAAGGTTGCAAAGTCAAGCGCTCAAAAGTTAGGAAATGCCAGAATTAAGGTTACCTGTGCAACTTTATTTTGGCTCCCTGGTGTGCATACATTGATATAATCTTTAATTAGTTGAACACATACTATTTTTCGACAGGACCCCTGCCTCATTCAGTGCGCAGGATCGATGGTACTCTGTTAAGGAGGAACTATTTGATATTTTGTTTCCTTCTCGTTCAGTGAGTGAGCCCATTCCTTATTTACTGCAGAGTGACAAGCTGTGGGCTCTTCTTTTAACAGTGAGTGAGTACTTAGTCTTCTGACCTCCAACCATCATACAGAATGGCCACTTGCTTTGAAATCAGCATTTTCTGTTAAAGTCCTTAACTTGTACAATGCTAATGAAGGACTTTTTTTCTTTGATGGGTTATTTAGTTACAGGGTATACACAGTGCTTCTGAAGCATCTAGCACTGGCCACTGTGGGGAGACAGGATACTGGGCTAGATAAACCATTGGTCTGACTCAGTATGGCCGTTCTTATATAAATATTTACCATTACATTATAACAGGAATAGATAAGTGAGAACAATGCAAATAACATCCCATTAGTTTTCATGAAGTTTAAACACCCAATACACTTATACATTTAACCATTATTTTGATCTATACTAATACACAAGTGAATTGCACTCTAGCATGACCTGGTCTGCCACCATCACAGTAGTGTCTTCCAGATTCAATGCCTGTTTTGGTTGGCATGTCCTACATTCATTGTTTAAGTAGGACTCCTAGTACCCACCTCCAAGCAGACAGCCAACTGCTTGTTAGTCCCCCCAAGTCTACTCCTCTGGGATTCTATATTGCCAAAAGAACTGAGGGATGGTTGGGCTTGCTCTGCCCTTTATGTTCTCTGGTGTGGGTGCAGCACAAGGACACTTTGGGCACAAATGCGACCTCAAGAATGTAATCTCACACACAATGCCCATGTTCATCAAGAGAGGAATCCATGTGGTTAACACATCTTGAAGAAGCACAGTTACTGTAGAGAAAATAATATTTATGTATCTAACTCAGTTTTCACACCCAGATCTGATTTTCATGTAACATTTATTTTCAACCACAAGGAGAGGAGGTGAAGAATAAAATTAGTAGCTTTAATACTTTCCTCCTTTCATTTAGAGAAGTCTATTTTCCTGTTTGATATAATGGGAGGACATATGTTCAAAGTATAAGATTTTATAGGGTAATGTTATACATATCATTTATTAGCCATACATTTTTAAGTGATTAAAATAAATTTTTTTGAAATGCACTATTTCTGTTTAATGCCTGAAAGAAAAACCTTGCTGTCAACTTCCAGATTTTTATAACCCTCAGGAATGTTCTGAGCCTGGATCATTATGTAGTTAATTTAAAAGAATTTCACTAGTCATATGAGATCAAAATGAACATATATTCACTGTATCCCTTCATAGACTTAAGGACTTTTTTAAAGGTTGGTTTTGCTGTGCAACTGCATAATCGGAAGAGGAAAATGAAAAGGTCCTTAATCCTGAATCTACAGATCCTTATATTTGCATAAAGATTACCTTGTTAAGCCTGTATAGTCCAGAGTTATGGATATGACAGGGCCAATGAAAAATGTGAGAGAGAGTTGGAAAGAATAGTTTATTTTGTATTTGCAGCATTAAGCTCTACCTTATTTTATCACCCATTTACATCAAATATATATAGTTAAAAAAAAAAAAAACCTAGGTAGTATGTCTTATGTAAACTATACTTTAAATGTCTGTGAGAATTAGGTATTTTTTAATTTTCTTACCAGTAATATGCTTGGGAGTTAGAGATCACAAGGAATCAAAGCTGACTCTGGCACAAAAGCATAAGCTGGACCTGGATTGATGAAGGGATGTGATAATGGGTTAAGAATCCTGAAAACAACTATGCTGTGTGCTTGTAAGTTGATCAAACTGATATCATAGCTGAATTTTTTTTATTTATATATATATATATATTTCAAAATATGATTATGGATAGAGAGATGACAACTGGTGCATAGGAGGTAAGAGGCAACGAGATGTGAATGGTGAGCTCAGTGAGAGAAAATGAAGTTTTAGGAAGTGAGGGTGGGGAGGTAGTGGGAGACAAATTATAGATTGTCTAAAAGTTGAAGGGTGGTTTAAATCCTGCCATTTGTCTCAGTGCTGTGTAATTTGTCAGGGCACTCACCCTTTGCCCTAGAATAGCATTCACAATCTCAATTTGAGTTTCTCACCGTTATGGCTGTTGAGATAGATTTGAAAAGGAGTGTTGTCTTCCTGAGTCTGCAAAGAGCCAAGCAAGGGGGGGAGGGATAGCTCAGTGGTTTGAGCGTTGGCCTGCTAAACCCAGGGTTATGAGTTCAATCCTTGAGGGGGCCATTTGGGGATTTAGTTGGGGATTGATCCTGCTTTGAGCAGGGGGTTGGACTAGATGATCTCCTGAGGTCCCTTCCAACCCTAATAATCTATGATTCTAAGACCGAATGGGAGACCTGTACGCTACCCGGAGCCTGCCCCAACCCTGATCCCCCTCCTGCCCTCCGATCCGAACCCCTTGGTCCCAGCCCTATCCCAGAGCCCGCACCCCGAGCTGGAGCCCTCACCCCCCTGCCCCACCGTGAGAAGAGAGTGACGGTTAGTCGGGAACGAGGCGACCCGGGCCAGCCCCGCGGCAGAAGGAAAAGTGAAGATTGAGCGATGCCGGGCGGAGCGCAGGCGTATCTATGGGCGGAGCCAGTGCCAAGGGGTGTGGCCAGCGCCGAGCCCCGTCACGCCTCTTATGAATATTCAAGTTACAAGATGACATGATGAGCTGCCTCCGTCGCCCGCCCGGAAGTGCTGCTGCGGCTAGGCCGGTTTGTTTGTAAGCGGCCGAAAACAACATGGCGGCGCCAGGTACTGCGGCAGCAGAGCCCGGACGGTGCGGAGAGGGGCCGGGGTGGCCCCGGGCTTCGGCCCCTGAGGCGGAGCGCCCTGCCCCGCGGGAGCTCGTGCGGCCGTCGGTGACGGAGCTGTCCCGGGCCGTGCGGACCAACATTCTCTGCACGGTGCCCGGCTGCGGCAAGGTCCTGCCCAACAGCCCGGCCCTGAGCATGCACCTGAGCAAGGCCCACCGGGTCCAGGTACTGACCCTCCCCGGCCCAGCGGTCTGGGTACAATCCTCCCCTGCCTTGGGCATAGTCCTGCGGGTCCGGGTACCGACCCGACCCTCCCCTCAGCGTGCACCTGGGCGTGCCCGGGTACTGATCCTCCCCTCAGTGTGCACCTGGGCGTGCCCCAGCGCCTCCGGGTACTGACCCTCCCCTCGGCGTGCACCTGGGCGTGCCCCAGCGCCTCCGGGTCCTGACCCTCCCCTCGGCGTGCACCTGGGCATGACCCACCTCCCTTGGCCTACTGGGACCAGGTATCGAAACCCTCATATTCCCCACTCCCAGCTCTGAGCAAGACTCGGCTGTTTCAGGTACTGACCCTCTCCCAGCCCAGCTGGTCTGGATACCTAACCCCTTTTATCCCTCCCCAAGCAGCTGAACAACACATCCCTGGCTCACTGGGTCCAAGTACCAAACCTCCCCTACTCTGATCACGTATCTGAGCCCGTGTACTAAACCCTTCATATTCTCTACCCCCAGCCCTGAGTGTGCATCTGAGCAAGTCCAACCAGGTCCAGGTACTGACCCACAGCCCACTAGGTCCAGATACCGAATCCCCCTTGCCTTGAGCATGTTCCTCAACAAGACCGTCCAGGTGCTGAACCCCATATTTTGCTTGTTCCTGAGCATGCACCTGAGCAAGTCTAACCAGGCCCTCCCCTCCACCCCTCAAAAATCCCCTAACCCTGATCCAAGGAAGGCCCATGTATTGAATCTCCCTCCCACAAATGCATACACCTGGCTTTTAGCATACACCTGAGCAAGGCCATGGAATCAAACTCCCCAGCCCAGCACTGTGCACGATGTAAGCAAGTGTAGATCCAGCTACCCCTGCTTGTCCCCATTATTCCTCACCTCTTGAGATCTTCTGAGCATGCACCATGTCTAGCTGTTCAGAGGCACCAACTTTCCACTTTCCCTGGGGGTGTTTGACTCCTGCTCCACCCCAGGCCCTGCCCCCACTACACCCTTTCCCCCAAGGCCCTGCCCCATCTCTTCCCACCATTGTTCTGCCCCATCCTCTGAGTATGCCCCCCCACTGCTCCTTGCCGCCCCTCTCCCCACCACCACCGCAGTTCCAGCTGATTGTAGCAGGCGGGAGGCACTGGGGGGTGGGAGGGGGTGGCACTGATGGGCTGGGCCTGCCAGGGGGCAGGAGGCTCTGGGGGAGAGGGAGAGGAGCTGAGCACTCACTATTTTTTTTCCCTGTGGGTGCTTCAGCCCCAGAACACCCACAGCGTCGGCACTTATGGAGCTCTTGGTATGCACCTAAGACTGTTGGTTCCAAGTACCAAAGTCCGTGAGTCTGCACTTAAGCTAGATCCGCTTGGTCCTGATATTGACTGCCACCTCTGGTGCTGACAGCCCTGAGCATGCACGAAAGTAATACACACCAGGTCTGCATACTGACCCATGCTCCCAACCTGACCCCAAGTGTGTACTTGAGCATTGACTGCCTACCATTTGTCCAGCACTACATCTGTGTCCCCTCAGTCCTTCTTGCCTTCTGATTTATCTAACATCTAGATGGGAAGGTCCCATTCTCAGTTTTAAAGCCCTCTGCAAGGGATAGTTAGCATTCTTTAGAAACACAGTAAACTGTCCAATTGTTTCTAAAGCCACTGTTTAGAAGATTTATATAGGTGTTAATGGGCTGTTCTAGGTTAGTGTATCATGTTTATTCTATTACAATGGGGAGAATGATGCATTTTCTAGCAACAGCTTTTTTGTTTAGAACGCCCTTCGGTGTGAAATGTATAAACTTGTTTAACAGTATATGCATACTTAGTGTTTGGTTTGTGTCTCTGTGGTTTTTGTGTGTGATATCTTTTAATATATTTAAAAAAAAGATTCAAGAATAACAGATACTGTTAAGAGTAGCTTGGGTTTTTTTCTTTCGAAAGATCATTCATCATTTTATTCATTATTTGTATTGTTGTGGTACCTGGAGGCCCTGGCCACATTGTGCTATGGGAATACAAATATATAATAGTTCCCCAGGCACCAAAACCTCATATTTTCTTAGGGAAATAGCCAGTTAGATTTGTTGATTATTGGTCAAGTTGGCCTCGGTGGATCTCGGCTCAAAAGCAATTAGAAGGAATTGAGTGGCATCAGCTGATGCATCCTGGGGTTGAGGGACACAAGGGATACATAGGGTTTGTGCGCAGTTTCAGCAGACATTGTTCTTCTAAACATTCCGAGCTTGTGCTTTGAGGTGCACGCAGCACTCCTGGATCCATGCAGGCCATCATTTTGAACCACAGTTACTGCAGTATTTAACTGTTGTGTTCCAAGTTTGCTATCAGGGAAGAAAATACAATGTGTTCTTTCTCCACATAAACTGCTGTAATAGCTCTCAGAACTGTTATCACAGTGCCGTGAACACTCATGAGATTTTTTGTACTCAACTTTCCATTTGGTAATAGATCAGGCTAGTATTGGAACACTTGTGTGGCTCAGACACACAGTGTCTATGGAGATTAGATTTTTGGAGATACAGATTCTAATGACACTTTATCTGGTCGTGACTGACTGAATGATACTTTAGTTTAGAGCTACATACACATAGTCCCAACTTTGGAAACTTTTTACTAATATATCTAGAGTTGCCTCTTCCATATTCAGTATTGTTTTACAGCTTACCTCTCGTACTAAACCCTTTTAGCAGTTAAGTCCAACTTGCTAACTAAGTGCCTAAAAAAAGCAGATAGTCACCTAGTGGAATTATCAAAAGCACCCTAGAGAGTCAGTGATAGCTAGGTGTCTAGGCACTTTTGAGAATTCCGCTAGGTGACTATCTGCTTCTTTAGGCACCTACCATACCAGGGGTCTCAAACTTCATTGCATCATGACCCCCTTCTGACAACAAAATTTACTACCTGGCCCCAGGAGTGGAGGACCGAAGCCTGAGCCCACCTGCGACCCACCGCTCTGGCTGGGGAGATCAAAGCCGAAGCCCCCACTGGGTAGGGTGGCCAAAGACCAATCCCAAGCCCCACTGCCCCCGGCAGGGGGTCAAAGCCAAAGCCTTTCCACCATTGACTGAAGTCCTCATGCTTCGGCCCGGAAGGTGGGGCTTGGGCCCCAGACCGCAGCAAATCTAACGCCAGCCTTGGCGACCCCATTAAAATGGGGTTGTGGGGTCCCGACCCACAGTTTGAGAACCTCTGTACTAAACCTTTACAACATAAATAATCAATCTGACCCTTAGTAATGTCGTGGTGGTGGTCCGTGGTGTAACAAGATAATGATCTTGGAACTTACTGGTTTTTAGTTTTCTCTGACTGCAGTTAATTTTGATAGTTTCAGGAGTCAGAGGAAAAGAGGTGAAAGTAAAAACTTTATCCCAAAACTCCACAAAACATTTAATTGACGAAGTTCAAGAATCTGTCAGGTTTCAGAATAGCAGCCGTGTTAGTCTGTATCCGCAAAAAGAACAGGAGTACTTGTGACACCTTAGGGCTGGTCCACACTACCCGCCTAATTCGGCGGGTAGAGATCGATCTTCTGGGATCGATTTATCGCATCTCATCTGGACGCAATAGATCGATCCCAGAAGCGCTCCCCCGTCGACTGCGGAACTCCTGCTCGCCGAGAGGAGGAAGCGCTGTCGACGGGGGAGCCTGCCTGCGCTGCGTGGACCCGAAGTAGGTACTTTTAGTTCGATATAGAAACGTCGACTTCAGCTACGCTATTCTCGTAGCTGAAGTTGCGTTTCCTATATCGATCCCCCGCCCCAGTGTGGACCAGCCCTTAGAGACTAGCAAATTTATTAGAGCATAAGCTTTCGTGGGCTACAGCCGAAGAAGTGGACTGTAGCCCACGAAAGCTTATGCTCTAATAAATTTGTTAGTCTCTAAGGTGCCACAAGTACTCCTGTTCTTTTTGAAGAATCTGTCAGGTTTTCTTTTGGTGAAATGAGAGAGTTGACCATCTCATTCATTATATTCTTTGAACTTCATTGTATGGACTTGTAGTATTAGTAAAACTAACTTGCAACAAAATGTCTTTTACTAGAAACCAGGTTTGAATGCTTAGAAACATAAGTTGCTTGACAAACTTGTATAGCATTGATTATGTTCCATTCATTGAAGACATAATGTATCTTGGTTTGGTAGCTGTTAAAGCTTCACTTTGATTCACCTCATGCTATGCTGCAGGAACTTTCTGGAAAACGATGCCTGTTGGAGCTGCATGAGCACCCTTCTCACTTAAGATGTTTGAAGCAGAAGTTATAAAAATGTTGTGCAGTCCCAAACTACCTCAGTTTATGCATTTCTGTGGTCAGGTGCAGGGACCTTCTCTCTGTTCCCAGGGTGATTTCTTGGGTCTTTTTAATCCAAAACTCAACTTCTGGTGTTGCACTGTTGTACTGGTAGGTTTTTATTTTGGCCCTACGGTTCTCTGGCTATTACCAATATGTCTATCAGGGTTCTGAGGTCTCAGGTAAGAAGGATGTATTAAGCAGTGTTGTGATGTGTCCCTCTATGTTCTGGAGACAGATGTGGGTACCTGCTATTCTGCTTGGGGTGGTAAACCATTACTTGGATTGCTGCTCTATTGTAGGGCCTTCACACCTTGAGCTTGCATTGATAAGCAGCAGAGGCTCTGTGCCTTCATCAGGGTGGCCTTATGGGGCTGGTCCCTGGATCCAACATCAGATTAGCAGTCTGCCCCCGGACGCATCAGATCAAGTTAAATCTAATTTCACACTGCAAAAGTTGGTACCAGAGAGAGATCTCCAGGGTTGTAGTGCCTGGAGTTTGGCTCCCCAGCCAGTTCCAGGATCTGGAGGGACAGAAGAGGTGCTACTTTTGTCTTTATGCTTCCCAGCAGCACTGTGTTTTGCTCAGGTGCAGCTGAGTATTTTAGCCCCAAATTCCTTCTTGGCTAGTAACCTGCGACTATCCCTAAGTGTCCAGGCACAGGTGGCTGAAATATGTGGAAAGCAGAATAATGTGGTTGAGACTGAGGGAATCTTCCTTGGGGAGGGAGATGTCTCTTCCAGAGACAACTAAGCAGAATCTGTCCCTATTGGTATTCTGGTTCTGTAGTATAGTGCTGTGAACATCTAGACTGCATACAAGCACACACAAAAAGTTTATTAAGTGGCACATGGAACTCTAGTTCTTTAATTTTACTTGTTTCAGCAACTTTAATGGCAGTGTGATTGTTCCAGGCAAATATAAATTGTAAAGTAGAAACCTTACCGGTTGGAAACACCAAGCATAATGCAATTCTGAAAAATTAAAACTACAGTGTATTGGAACACTGTAAATATTTAGTGAAATGCAGTGAATATTTAGATCCATTCATTTTGGACTCTAAAAGGTTAAGAAATATCATGTGTAAATTGTTTAGATTCTGAAAGTATTTCCTCTATGGTGGGGAGAATTTAATATTTGGAAGTAAAATAATAGTATACTGCTCTAGGATCATCAGTTGTGATTCCTGAAGAGTTCTGCTGGTTACAAAATAGTATCTGAACAGATAAGCAATTCCATTTGAGCTGGGTAATCTACCAATTCACTTAGCAAAGAGTTTTCAGCTTGAATGCCAAGGCTGGTAAACGTTGAGCAAAGTTTAATCTGTATTCTGAACACTGTATTAATAGTACAGACCCATTTGCCAACTTTTAATAAAAATGTACTTTTTCAGGATGGAAAAATAAATGCATCAATAAGGAAGGGTTTGAAAACTACACAGAAATTCTACTGCTGTCCTATTGAAGGCTGCCCTAGAGGACCAAACAGACCATTTTCCCAATTTTCACTTGTAAAACAGGTATTTTTTTTCTGGACTACTTTTCCTTGAGTAATAGTATAAGAGGAATCTGGGGACAACATGGGCCAAATCTTCAAGAGTGCATATAACTTCCTGTATCCAAACCCACGTACCAGACATCCCAATGTATATACTCAAGTTGCAGAGCAAGTGTGTGGAGAAACCGCAGTTTGTGTGCAGATGGCAGTTTGCACATCCACTTTGGAAGACTTGGGCCTTTGTGTCTAACAGGCACTGGCATGTTCTCATTTAAAAAAAAAAATGATAAAAAAATGAACAACTTAGAAAAGGTCATTCAGATACAAATTTTCCAAAGAGCTGACCTATGGCTAACATTTTTCCATAAATGTCCAATTATAACAAAAAGTCAAACGGCAATAAGCTGGTTTAAAATTATTAGCCATCTTAAATGGATAAGAAATAAGACTAACTCCTGTACTTTTGTCTCAAGAGTTGACGTCTTTAGACAGATGACTTTCTGTTGCATGTTAATCAGGATTCTCTCTTGTTAAGAAAATGTCACTTATGCGTTCTTTATGAAAAGTATTAAATTCTGTTGAAAATCCAACTGCCAACATTTGTGAATCATCTTCAGTGTCAGTCAGCTGCATGATCCAGCATGGTAGTGATGTGGTCTAGTGGCTAGCGCTCAGGGCCATAAATAAAGGGTTCTGTTTACTTGCTCTGGGAACTTTGGACAACTCACTTAGCCTCTCCTCTTTGTTCTAGTTTTTTTTTGAAAGAGAGAGAGTGCTTCTCTCAGGATGGGTATTTTGATTATTTAAATAATGTTAATAAATAGCAAGATCCTTGAATGAGAGGCACTGTGGGCTTGATCCTGTGCCCACTGAAGTCAATGGCAAATCTCCCATTGATGTCAATGGTACAGGAGGAGGCCCTGTAAGTGTTAAGTGGCAGTAGTTAATCTATATCTAAAAGCTGTGGGAATTGATGACATAAAATGAATGACCAGGTGTATGAGATTGCCAACAAGTTCATTCTCTGGTATTGTATGAAGACTTATTCCCAAGTAAAACAATGGAAATCAATTAGAAGGTCAGTGATGGTGTAAAATCACATTTAAACTACTGTTTTTTGTACAAATAACTAATTAAAACTATTAAAACTAATTTAAGCAATTTTTCATTGTTTACTTTTTGCCCTCACCTCAACTTGGACAATGAAACTAGACTTCTCTTCATTCTGTAGTTCTCACGGCTTTAGAATAGTATTGTATTGTTTGTGCCTCGAGCAGTGCAAGAAAATATTTAGTTTTTAAATCTTTTTTCAATGAAATGCCTAAATATTTCTATTGAATTCTTAAAACTGTTTCTAATTAAGGATAGTTTTTTCACTCTTCTCCAAGACTAGCATATCTCCTAAATTGTTTTGCATGTGTAACACTGTAGCTGTCTTGTAAAGAAATGACTCTTAACCAATTCCTTTGTATTGCTAACTTGTCTAACTTTCACTGTGAATTTTAGCACTTTATGAAAATGCATGCTGAAAAGAAGCACAAATGTGATAAATGTAGCAACTCATATGGCACGGAATGGGACTTGAAACGACATATAGAAGACTGTGGCAAGACTTTCCAGTGTACTTGTGGGTGCCCTTATGCCAGCAGAACAGCATTACTGTCTCATGTTTACAGAACGGGCCATGAGATCCCTGCAGAGCACAGGTAACAGTGAAGCTATTGTTGATTAAGTGATTTAATTTATTTTATATTAAGTATTATGACATCTTCCTACATGTGCCTCATAATTAACTCCTTTTGGTTGATAGGAGGTGGTCCTGTCTCCTACCTATATGCAATTAACTCCCACTAATACTAATGCAGTTTGCTACTTCTTCCTTCCGTTACTTACAGCAGTCCTAGCTCCATTGATGGCAATGGGAATTGAGTGTCCAGTACTATGTAAGATCAAGCTTCTAGTGTCTAGCCCAAGAAGTGCTACCAGCTGTGGTCCTCTTATTGCTGGTGACATTTATTGCATTTGTTGTTAAAGCTACTATTGATTCTTGTTGGAACTGTGCGACCTGCAGTCCTATGAAAGTAGAAAGGGAATGTGCACACCCAGTGTAGTTCTGTAGCCTGAAGTAAGCAATGTTAATTAAATATTTTTACTCTTAACACTTATACAGCACCATAAGTGTCAGTTGCTTTCATTAGTAAAACAATAAGATTGGCAGTTAATAAAAAGATAAGTATTAAACATTGCCATCTATAAAATGTGCATAAATTTTCCTAATAGTGTGCATGCATGAAGCAATCTATTTGCAAAACACATACAGTAGTAGGATTCAGTAGAGTGAGATGCTGCAAGATTATAATACTTGTGCATTCTTGTATGCAAGGGTTAGAAAACCTAGGCTCCAATTTTCTATAAGACTGTAACTACCTACTTTGGAAACTCTTTGAACGTTTTCTTAAACACCATAACCCAAAATGCTGAGAGGTTACTCTTTTAGCATTTTCCTCATTCTCTTCCTTATTAAAGTAAAAAAAAAAAAAAAAACGCTCATGGTCAGGATTAGTTTTTCTGCCAATTCAGACCTACGGAAGGATTTAACTTATACCTCCACTCCCACAAGGTCTAGTGCCATGATTGAAAGAGTTGGGAGGGAGGATTTTGTTGTTGGTCTCTAAACTGTGAGATAAATTCTTAATGTATCATGTTTACAGGGATCCACCTAGTAAGAAAAGGAAAATGTGCACTGAGGTTTCCAATCAGCACTTGGCAGAGAAAGCGAGTGAAGCATTCATCAATGCACGCACCAGTAGTACTTGCACTCAGGAATTGGAGTCATCTGAGATGAAACTAATGGCCTCCTTTGAAGGCTCCTGCAGTTCTAATATCAGTAAGCAAACGCTCTCACAGCCAAAGTGTACACCGAAGATGCTTTTGCCAAAGCCCAAAGTAGCTTTGGTTAAACTTCCAGTAATGCAGTTTGCTCACTTGCCTATTTTTGTATCAGCAACAGATTCCTCTGTCAAACCTGTTGTAGTGGCTGTTGATAATCAAGGCTCTGTTATGAGTACTGTTCACTTATTACCTCAGTCTATAGGAATTCTGATACCAGCATTGGAGGCTGAAGCACTTGTATTTAAAGACACAGTGCCTATTTCAAAAACGGCAAATTCTGGTGATGTTGAGCCAGTTAGCACCAGTGTCCAAGTCAATTTGGGTAAGGTAACGTCAAATAGTACAGTACAAGAGCTGGGGAGCATGTGTCACAAGAATAAAATCTCTTCAATAAATGTACAAACTGACTTATCTTACATTTCACAGAACTTTATGCCAGCTGCAGCCTGGACTCCTGATTCTTCTGTATCCTCTTGCTCTCAGACAGACCTGACATTCAGTTCACAGGTTTCGCTACCAGTTAGTGTTCAGACTCAGACACTGTTGCCCAGTTCTAAACTGACTTCATCCATAGCTGCCCAGACTGATGCTTTTGCTCAGGCTTGTTTCCAGTCATGTGGTGTTTCTAGAGAGACTCAAACCAATAGAAGGCAGAACTCTATTGATGGGAGAGTACAAATGGACCAGGCTGTAATGTGCAATGACATTTTTGACAGTGTTCATTCAGCTTACAATGTTTCAACCCAGATTGGGCTCCCAGAAAACAATGTAATGGCTGCAAACATGGATCAAAGATTGCTACAAAGAAGTAACTGCAAGACCCTGAGTCAGGATACAATAAAATCTGAACCCATTATCAACTTCAATACACAGACTAATATACTCCCGCAGCAAAATATGACAGATAATCAAACCCAGACAATGGACTTACTAAGTGATCTGGAAAACATCTTTTCAGGTAACATGTCTGGCCAGACATTGGATAATCGTGGTCTTTTGTCTGACACTAGCTCTGGTGCTGATACACATCTGCCTTCTGGCCCTACACAGAGCACGGGAATAGACTTTGACATTGAAGAGTTCTTTTCAGCTTCCAATATTCAAACACAAACTGAGGAGAGTGAACTTGGTAACCTGAACTCTGAGCCAGTCTTGGAATCTCTGGATATTGAAACACAGACTGACTTATTTTTTTCAGACAGTGCCACTCAATCCTATAGCTGCAGAGGAAATTCTAACTTCTTAGGTTTGGAAATGTTTGATACCCAGACACAGACAGACTTAAATTCCTTCTTAGACAGTAGCACCCATTTGCCTTTGGGAAGTATTTTGAAGCAGTCCAGCTTCTCCATGAGCACTGACTCATCTGATACCGAAACCCAGACAGAAATACCCTCTGCTGCTAAAAATATACCTAGTCAAAATATAGAAAATAAAGTCCAGCTGAATAGTGCTGAAACACAGACTATGGATAGCTGCTTTGAGACCCTTGGAAGCCTATTCCTTACCAGCAATGAGACACAGACAGCTATGGATGACTTTCTTCTGGCTGACTTGGCCTGGAATACAATGGAGTCACAGTTCAGTTCAGTAGAAACACAGACCTGTGCAGAATTGTGTTCCTTGGTTTGTCAGAAGTTTGGAACAAGCCATTGAGTGCTACTTAATAAAATTGTTTTCCTTGTGGTTTGAAACTAAGTTATTGGGGTGGGGAGCGGGAGAAGGAACTGACCAAGTTGTCTGCGTTGAATGTAGTTGCCCATATGCAGTTGGTCTAAAAAAAACCTTTTCATGCATAAGGTACTTAAGCTGTTGTATATGTAACTTAAACATAGAATATGTATACATGTTTGTAACCTGTTAATGTAAGTTTGAACTTTTAAAGTGAATGTTCTTGTGGTGCCTACCGTTGTTGATCTGTGTTATAAAGCTATATCGACATGTCCATTGAACCTCAGTTCAGGCTTTTATATTTGTCTATACCTATATACTTCTGGCTCAGACCTGGGCTTACTGTCTTGACGCAAAAGTAGGCCTATCTAATTCTGACACATCTCGCTCACCAAAAAAGCCCTTTTTGGCATAAACTGCTTTTTGTTTTTTTAAAGTGTTAGATTTGACAAGATTATAATATGGCAAGATTTACCCGTCCTATACAAAAATAGATGTTGAGGAATTTATTAGTAGATGTAGTTTCCAAGCAGTTGTCCCAAAAATGACCCTGGATCACAAATTTGCTGATTATTGCGTATATAATTTAAAGTGCAACTAATGTAAGTAGCGAAACTTGTTTTTACTTCTCTCTGAATTGGTATAATCAGCGTTGGTGTTAACAGGGTATAAAAAGAACTTTTGAGATACTTAACTCTTAAAGTTATCGTGCAGTAACTTCACTGCACATACTGTAATAAAACAGCATACAGGTCTAAAGTATTTTTGGACTTTTCAAGGAGGGATTTGTGTTCCTAAACTGTGAGTTGCAAGAAACCCTGGTTCTGATGCAAACAAAATCAAGGAAATTCTAAATATTAGAATGTCTGTGTGAGTGAAAGATCAGAACAAATCATCAGGTTACATTGTAATTCACCTACCAATAGCACAGTTATTTGCTAATTTGAGGAATAGTATATTGGTTATACTATAACTACGAACCTTACCAAAAACCATAGAAACTGTTAGACTTGTAACGACTGAATTCTCTGAAAGCCTGTTGACTAAATTACTACTCTTAAATCTTACTCTTCCAGAACAAGACTAGGGAGAACTCCCAAAGTTCAGAGTGTTTGAGGCTGCTGACTTCCCTGTATAGCAGCAGGTACATTGGTCCTCTGCACAGTGGGCTCAGCAGCCCCTCCTGCCCCTGGCTTCACTTCAGCAGTTATCTGTTAAAAGCTGATTATACTCAAAGCATGGAGATTTCCTTCATCTACTTTCTTCTCCTAGCTGATCAGTTACAACAGTCATATATTTCAACGGAGAGGCCGTTATTCTGATGTGAATTTCTGCTGTGAGCCTTGCATCACTTTTTTTTCTTTCTTTTAGTATTTCTGAGGTGTTACTAACTTTTGTATTTTCTTGTAACTTTATTTCAGGAGCATCCAGTTCTGCCTTGAAGGTCAGTCTGGAAGGCTGGTTGCAGCTGTACCTTGCCTTAGAGCACCTGTGTGCGCCATCCAGAAATATTTGGAACAGATTCCATGCTCCCCTGTCTCCAGTTTATGGAAAGGGCACAGCTCGGAAGATCAGTGTGTAAAAGGCACAATTCTCTATCTGTGTTGGTAGGAGACTCAAAGTGCGATTTGGTTTGGTGCAGCCTGAGTGGTGGTGGCAATTGCAGTGGAATTCCAGGATTCAGATGGTTGTGGCTCCATTGGTGTTTGGAGTACTGCAGTGGGGTCAGAATGCCTCAACACACTAGCAAGATCTGTTGTCTTAGCGTGTTGTCAGAGCTCGGCATACCAGAGGACTTTGTAATGTTGGGCCCTAGATTGCCTTACCATTTCATGAGAGTATGGTGGACTTGCAGGGCACTGACAGCACCATTGCTCTATCAGGGCTTGCTGTGCAGTTGGAGCTTGATGCAGTAGCAGATAATCTTGGATCACATCAGATCTGGGTGCTGCAGTGATACTCTCCCAACACAGACACATCTTGGAGCCCTGGAGCTCATTTGCTGTTCCTACTTCCAATATGCTGGGTCACCTACCTGGTGGTGGCTCAGAACAGAGGCTTGGTGTATTTCTGACAAGCATGCCAGTCGGTATCTTTGAGGGGACTTGGAGCATTGGCCTGTCTGTGTACAAATAGGTCACCTTTAACATACCTGGCACCAACGCTATGGAGTAATTTACACGATGTACGGGTGCATTGCCCAGCTGTTCCCCTGCTGCACTAGGCAGATGTTCACCCACAGCACTAGTGCCAAGGAAGTGAATTTGAGGTGCTGATGGCTTCTCTGTGGGGGAGTTCTTCATGACTTGAATTGCTTTGCCTCAGAGCATTTCAGACCGCTTTTACCCAACCCCAACTGCTGCATGATCACTTGTCTTAATACACCAAAACGTTGCTGTGATGGGGGTAGCTTAGTGTAATGTGCAGTGGATGGATTGCATACCTCAGCTCCCAGGCACACCAATTTTCTATGCCTCTTCAGCCCACTCTTCAGGCCAGTGTTTCAGAGTTGCATTTTGGGGCACTGTTGTAGTGTGCCAATCAGTAAGGCATTGTCTGTAGGTATCTTGGGACATTGGACATCACAATCCTGATTCCTCCAGATGAGGAAGTCAGATACACTGATGTCTATGTATCTTGGAGCCGCTCTCAGGCACAAGAACAACTTGTTGGAGAGGTTTGCCCATCTGTCTGCCTTGGAGAAGATAAGGTTTGTGCTTTGCACCAGAGCACCCAGTTTGAGCTGTCCAGAGGCCTTGAGTCCTGCAGTCTTCATAAACTGAGAGAAACGTGATACACTGTTCTAACTGTGAGTATTTGCCAGAAGGTGGCAAGTACCAGCTCAGACCATAGTGAAACTTGAATTTTGATTTTTGCAATAGTATTCTGGTACTTGTGGTTGGATGTACCATAAGACATGATTCCAGTGGGCCTGAAGTCCAAAGAAGAACAAAATACATAATTCATATAGACAAATGATGAAGCCTGAGCCTCTCTCCTTTAACTGTGGTCACCAGAACTTCATTCAAATTCCATTAAGTCAAATTATGCAGCTTCCTGTGCTGTCCAATTGGTAATTGCCTTTAGGTAGCCACATTCTCTACTTATAGATGTATTTGGGATGCGTGTTGGCTACCTGAGCTCATTGCAGTCTCTGGTCTATTCTTTGGTAGCCTTGGGGCATGTTTACTAATCTAGGGTCATTATTGAGCTCTAGAGTTTTGGCTTCTCTCTCTCAAACTTGAGGATCTTATCCTCAATGTTGTATTGCCTCTCACTAAGCTGGTGTATGTCCAGTTACTTTATTGACTAAAGGAGTAACCCTTTTGGCTGCAGCAGAAAGGAGGAGGCTAGATTAAGCACTCGGCATATCCTTTCAAGTATATCCTTAGTTGGTCATTTTAAAAGTCATGCACGGATCCCAGAGCAACTCCTTAGCATATTTTGTTCACTAGTAATAATAAGGATCCAAGATCCTGTTTTCAGTTTTGTAAAGGCAAAGGAACACTTGCTTACCCACAGGAAGAGGGGGGGTATTGGATGTATGTTTGATACTAACCAGTCACTCATCTATGTAGAAGTTTTTGTTTCTGGAGACCTGATGGACGTGATCTATAGCCCATCCTTTCTGGTGACAGCTCCCAGTGCAAAACTGAGAATGTTTCCCTCTTTACTATGTAGGACTTAACCAATATGCTAGATGGAGGTGACTCTTCTGTTGCAGGATATTCCTTTGTCAAATCAGTCTTTTCTTGGGGAGGCTTTTGGCTTTTCCTGCTTTCTTAAATGTGTTATAATCAAGCCAACAGTCTCAGCTGGTGGGCATCTGTATCCCTACTTGAAATTGTGTAATGCAAACAACAAATCCTTCTACATACCTGCCTTGCAATGCATGCCCTATGCTGCTTGTCCCCTATTTAATATTTCCCTGACATTCTCAGATGGGGGAGTGTCCTGAAAGTCTCCACAATCTTGAGTGTACAAAACTGCCTTTTGCCATTCTAGTTCTCCATGATTTGGTGAGTCTGCTGCTTTGTGGAAACTCCCCTCAAGTTGCTTGGTCTCTAGAAGCAGGAACCCAGTCAGCATGGTATATTGAGAGAAGGGGAAATTACCTGCATGTAATTCTGATTCTCTGAAGATGCATGACTGGATTCCTTCTCACCCATCCAATTCTTGTGAGAGACAGATGAACTATGGCTGGATGAATCCATCTTATCTGTTACTATTTGTAGCAATGTTTATGCTTTGGTTTTAAGAGTACTTTCCCCACTGCTTTATTGTAGAACCAGAGAATGCATTTCTTAGTGCATAGATGGCTGTGGCCATCCAACTGATGCACTGATTATACTGACATCTCAAAGTGAAGCGGTTAGATACATAAGTTCTCATAGGTAATTGCTTCAACCTCTTGCTCAAAAAGAAGGGAACAAGCGTGCTCTACAGAGGTGAAACATACCACCTTCTGTGGAAGAGGAGATGTTGTGTGGACTCAGCGGCCCTGCACAACTTCACATTTTGGAAGTTCAGGCTTTGTTCCAGAAGCCCAAAACTCAAGAGTGGGGATCAATTTCTATGATGCGTTCAGAGAGTGGAATTACAGCAGGTAAGTTTCCTACTACTAGCCACCCAAGTAGAATAGCTAGCCACCCCACAGGCTCATGATGCTGAGCTGCAGGTTATCCTTTCTTTGATTTAAGCCTTAAAACTCTATTTACAAAGGAGTGAATTGTGCATGCACTGTTACCAGTGACTATGGCCTAGAGGAAACCAGCAGCATTTTTTCAATAGAAATGAGTTTACACTGCTGGTACCCATGAACAGTTGTCTTATTTCAGTTCTCTAAAATATGCAGTTACAGCGCACAGTAATACAATAGGGCTTTGATGCTGAATTTGGCCCCATTTCTCCCAGCCCCCACAGGATTAACATTTGATACTGGGGTATTACCTTAAATGAGTATGGTATTATCACAATTTGAAACTGTTAAATAAAATCCAGAGGCATGAAAACAATTTAACAGTAAATATACCTTGTTTTGATGGACATGGGTCACTTGAGTCCCAAAGTTACCTACAGTCTAAACAAATGCGATGTGTTATTCTGATTATAGAAAATTATTTACATTGGAAATTATGAAAATGAGGCTGTGGAAAATTCCTTACACTAAAGCAGGGGTCGGCAACATTTGGCACGCGGCTCGCCAGGGTAAGCACCCTGGTGGGCCGGGCCAGTTTATTTACTTGCTGATGCGGCAGGTTCGGCCGATCGCGGCCCCCACTGGCTGCAGTTCGCAGTCTCGGGCCAATGGGGGCG